GAGCGATGAGAGGAGATGTTCGAGTGAACTGAACTGTAGATTGGGGGTACAGAGATCCCCTATATATACTACCGTACATCTGTGGCTACGTAGTACTATACAGTACATTCCCAGGATGCACAGTCGCACAGAGAAGCAGTGCGTACACAGCAAAGCTGTGTGTGTACCACATGAGTAGTACAGCCTCGGTTATTGCAGTAACCGGCTGTGCCGTTCCATATCTTGTGACGGCTGTGTTAGGCAAGCTGTGTAAACCAGCGCCTGTTCAACATACACGCCTTCTCCGCATGTATATTCCCCCACAGCCATACGACCATTTCCCCACTACCAGCAACCTGCGCAGCCACGTCTGTCAACGCCAGTTATGAGACATAGGTACGAAGACGCGTGCTCGGCTCCCTCTCCTGCAAACGGCAACGTGCCATCTCCCTCCCCAGTCTCAGTTATGCCGCCCCCATCCTCGCCAGAGACGCGTGCACCACCATATCTGCCTCATCGCATGCAGTCCCATACTACCTACGACGCCTCCATGGACCCTCTACTATACTCTAGTTACCCTCCCAGTCCGGCGTTGAGCATGTACTCTCAGTTTCCGGACTACCAATCCCAGTCTGACACTTTGTGATATCTCTCTTGTACAATGCATCTATTTTCGAGATCACCTAAGAACTTATAGCGGACATACTAACAGGACTGACAGGCTGGCTGTTTCCCCGGAGAGCTGCATCGCGAATTTCTCTAAGGCATTTCTCTCACGGGGTACCAAATCGGGATGTCCTGCCAAAAGGCCTCCCGGTTGGACCAGCCGTTCGGTGATCCTCACGTGCGGAGTGTGAATCTGGATCCCCGAATCTCGGCAGGGGACGAGCCTAATTCAGAGCGTTCTCACGGGCACCAGCTCGGGATCAACTGATCTAATGTTGAAGTACAATATCAGCACGAATAATCCGTGGAGATCTGTTGAGGGCTTCTACGAAGTAGAGTGGAGAGCCGTGGACCAGGCTCAGCCGTCTTTTCCTGCGTCATCTCACCTCGTACCCCGCCCGCCCTCTGCTTCATCACGACCATGCATGGCTCAGCCTGACTGTCGCACAGGTTTTTTCTCCATTCACGAGCAATGACATTTGGATGCAGATAGGACAGCTCAACATGAGTGCCATCCGGTACCGTACATGGTTATGGGCATATTCCGAGAATGAAGATACATTTGCCTCCGAGGCGGATCGCTGTGTACGAGGCAAGCGTTAAGCTTTACCGCAGCCCATCATTCTATGACACTCACGATACGTGGCGCAGTATTGTGTAGCTGCGGTGGGTGCTGCCCCGTCCATAGAGACTTATATCTGCCCATGGTCCCATTGGCATCCTGATTCGGCAGTCTCAGTATTTCTGCTGTTGCTATGCTATGCTACTAAATGCGGGGTAGTGCGGGGAGAAGCCTGTGACCAATGCCGTATTGATGATTACAGGTGTTGCTGGCCTTTGACGAGCGCGCAGACACCGCTCATGCATATTCTGAGCGGCTTGTCAGCGCGGCGCCTTGGAAAGAAGAAGCAACACGCGCGATCCGGTAGTCCGACTGGCTACTTCAAGCACATCCTACCCAGCTCTCCGGAGCGTCTGCCGCTTTAAGATATCTTCTTTGGTCTCTGACCCCGCAATGTGCCACAGGCAGTCGTTCGCCGGAGCAATTCGCGTAGGCGGTCCAGACCGGGCAGTGTCCAAGGCAACTACTTATTGTTCAATAGCAGCCAACGGACACCTCGTACTAAACCCTCCGCATCGCAATACCTCCTTGCAGGCTCTTCTGCCCTCGACCGATGTCCTCCAAAATTACTGTCATCTGTAGGCGTGCTCGAATGCTCATCTTGCTGGTCTCGCCCCGCTGGTTCCGATGTCCGGTGCCTCAGGTCTGGCGGTCTAGACTCTTCCGTCCCGCAGCTTTCCTTCCGCCGATGGGGCACGGCTCAGCTCGCTGCCACCTCCTAGTCTCTGCCTTGGCCTGTGCTTCACTATATCAGCATCTTAACTGCTTCTTGTTGCCAAGGTGTGTTGCTACCCTACTCGCTCGACTGCCATCCTTGCCTGGGTTCCCTAGAACGATCGTCCCGCTGCCTCGAATCGTGTTGATGAAACATCTTCCTTGCATGATGTCGGATCACACAAATGCTCGTAGGGTTGCCTGGTAAGGGCTGGAGCTTCCAGTAGTATGGATACAGCACGACTGTCTTTTGAAGTGCCTCGTCGTATCGGGCATATGAATCTGGATCTCGGTATGTAATCTCATGCTTGATACGCCTCATCCTAGCACGACGAGGCGTAGAGCGCTACCCGGTTCGACGAGGCGTAAAGCGTTACCAGTTGCTGACATACAGCTTTTTTGGACACACACAGGTGCATCATGAGGATTTCGTTGCTGCATAAAAGCCGACTTGTAGCGACCCTGGTGCTCTTCAACACACACCACTACCATCCTCTCTCCAATACCGTCCACGATGGACAACTACGAGCATCCAACGACCAAGCAACTTCGCTTTGCATCCGAGCCCGAAGTGCATGAGTACACACCTCCCACTTCGCCTAGGTCCGCATTGGCTGCTCTCGGCCAGACCCACACGAACAACGCGTACGTTCCCGCTTCCAACTTCGTTACCATTGAGATCCTTATCAACGTCGTCCCTAGCACGCAACTCATTCCTACCAACCCTGTCTTCGGACATGGGCACCCATACGTGGCTCAGCCTCCAGGCTACATGTTCGTGGCGTCGAACGGAGACCCTATGACAAGCATGGCGGGGATGCCTATCGGGTATGTCATTCACTCATGGCTTATCCAGCCTCTCCTTTCACTTGTGATTTCTTGCTTACCGTGTCAAACATCAGGACCAGCAGAAACACGTACGCTGGTGTCGAACAGGGCGCGCTCGTCGGGACCGGCGGAAACACGTACGCCGGCACCGCACAAGCTCTCCCCACACCTGCGATCCACAGCGTCCTCGAGCACTTCCCACTCAAGTGGGATGTGCGGACGACGCAAGGACCGCGAGGCCTCCCCGTCCAGCTTTCGAGCCAGCATGCGTTGGGCCCTGGCATGTCCTCCTGCATACTGCGCTTTTCCGCTCCACGCCGGCGCGAATTCAGGAAGACGGTCTGGGGCACCCAAGCCCTCACCGTCGGGGACGTCCTGAAGGCGATACACGAAGCCTTGTACGAGCCTCTCCATCCAGGCGATAACGGCGTGCTCACCGCAGCGCTGGCTGCGCGTGAGCATCGCACGCTGCGTCGGGATGCTGACCAGCTGTACATGGTGGACTTGTATCCCGTCGCCGGCGGGAGCCCGCCCGAGCTGTGTTTCCTCGGACTCCGATGGAGTTCGTCGGGGCGCGAGCTCGTGGTGCATCTTGGGCCTGCAGCTCGGGTCGTATGAGGTTCGTCGTTTAGGGCAATGAGCTACGAGTGCATCCTCGCTGACTTCTATCTTTAGCGCACCTAGCTTCCCCCGCATACCAGCGCCAGCCCGGCTGCTATGTATCATAGGACCCCAGCACTTGTATTTCTACCACAAGGCATCAGCGCCAGACGTGTATCTGCCAGAGCACCGAGAGACAACAGACATGAGTGCATAATGGCACACAATTTATGTTCGATCTCCCATCCATGTGTGATTTATGTCAGCATTCGCGCGAAGCACGTTTCTGGACATTCTGTCTAGGCGGAAAATCGCAAGGGGAGCCGGCGAAGTCTAGAGATGGCATCATGAAGTTGACTTAAATGGATATTTCAGGTGGGCTGCTGGGCACCCGAGGGCGGTTGTTGCCCCTTGGAGAAGCGCCCATCAAATGGGTTCTATTGATCGAGGGCGCGAGCCCAGGTAGTATATATACACAGGGCTTCGGCTAAGAAAAGCGTGTCCCCACAATGCCAATCCTCCTTTCCTCTCAGAGATCCTCGTTTAACAACGTAAGCCAGATTTTGGACCAACACGATGTCCCTGGGTACCGATCCTGCAGTGTGCGTCATTATTGAGATCCTTGGACCCAGGCAATCTACTGAAGACATCACGCCAACATCGGGCCGCATAGCATGGGACACCGTCTCGCAGCTGAGGCTCAAGGCGCTCGGTACTCTGCTGATGGAGCTGGTCAGTATGTCGGTCAAGTAGGGGATGTTCATGGGCGGCTAGAACGCTACGGCAGGAGAGAAGCTGCGCTGCGCAGTGACTGAGGGGGAAGATAGATGGCGAGATCGACTTCGCCAACTGCGCTCTCACCGGCCGTGCAGAATCATAATCGGCGGCGTATGAGCGCCAGTGAGTAAGGGCGGCCAAGCACGTTGGAACGAACGGTGATTCCGAGCAGTCGGCATCAGCAAAACTGTAAATATCTCTTCCAGGATTGCGGTTGGGGCATGAAGCGCGGAATGCGGTGCGAGCTGGCGCCGACGCCCAATATGGGAGCCATAGGGGCCTGCCCGTACCATACTTGCAATACCGCGCCAGACTTGGGCAAAGGTCGCAAGACCGCGCAACAATCCGCCAGAGGCACGCGATCGTGCAAGACCGTGCAAGACTGTACGGTACATTTGTATAGATACTAGAAACACCATGAGTTATAATGTCAATCGCATGTCGCTGCCACTCAGGTCTCTGCGTTGATGCCGAGCTGATCGCCCTCGCGCTTCAGGCTACCCTTCATCCCATCCTTTCCAAACATGCTCGACCACTCATTTCTCCGCCTCCGAGTCATCGTATCTTGCCCGAAGTCTCACCTAGATGCAGCCCCGATGTCGAAATAGCGTATGCCACCCCACGCCCTGTGTTGCTACCGGCGTCCGTGCAGCTTGTCTTCTGGCCAAGCATCAT